ACTTGTGACCACTCAGTGTATATACATAAATTGTTTATATGTATACGACATAAGAAGATTCAATGGAGTTTTCAACTTAAATTATATGGGTCACTGATTTTCTCTGTCCATTTCTTTTTCTGCAAGAAATCATAAATCTGCATAACTGCCTTTTATAGGTTTATATTGATTCTGTTTTCTCATTTAACGTGTGTGACTGGTATTGCAATCTCTACGGGCCCGAGACCGTAGCAACCATTGAGATTACTGATTCTTTCATCAAGCTAAACGATTTTAAACGAAGAAATTTGCCTCCCCCTTTTTCAAGGGAGACTTGCTTCAAAACTTTTTCAAGATGATTAGATTTGCTTCACAATTTTTTCAAGGTGTGAGATTTATTTCGCATTATTTCCAAGGTGATAAGATCTGCCTCACCACTTTTCAGAGCTCTCGCTATTGACATTGAGTAGTCGCATACTGGCATTTTGAAAATTCTGTGTTTTCTGATAGTTGTAATTAAGTAATTCTGTGATTCAAAATGCTCCAAATTACACCGTTTTATGTGTAATTTCCATACTTCTCCGAGATATTATGTCGCTGTATCCTATTATATTGTTTATTGCCTCTCGAGCTTCAAGGCCTTACCACATTCAAAAACATTATTACAGCCCTGATTTACTTCTACCAATATAATCAATTTTACATGGAATTATACCGTATTGACTGAAATCCAGTTTCCTTACGTTTACTTTAAAATAACAGTTGCTTTTGATCGTGTTTATGGTATAAACTTCTTAGGCGATCTGACAAAAATCTTTCTCGTGCTTCGGTTTGGTAACTTTAGTAATTTAGTCAGAAGGAGTTACCAACCATCAAATTTACATGTTAAGTATAACCCTTCCTCTTTTCAGATACACTAGTCTAGCCAGAGCACAAACTTCGACCATCAACATTTTTATAAAACTCTGCCAATAGAAACCGAAACCTAACCTTTATATTTACTCCTGATGTCGTATGAAATTATTGTGAAGGGTCGACGTCAACTGTAATCCTTCATTTATTTTTTACCAAGAGTACAAGCCCAGGTAAATCAACTACACTGGTGCACGCGATCGTATGCGATTATATGCATATTCTGCTTTCGAGTGCTATTTTCATCTAGCACGGTTACCTTGGTTACCTTTAAACCATAATATATCTATCACATCATCCAAAGAGTTTTTACTCACTGAAGTATCCATGTACGTATATGTACAACTGAAAGAAAGCTTAAAAACTGTAATAGATGGCATTAAATTCAGAGCCCATTGCAAGCGAGTGCCAGCAAATTACGCTCTGATTGGTGTCTGAGGGTACAGGCGATGACGTCATAGTGTCACGCACCAAATACGATTACGTCATAGCTCCACTTGACAACGAAATCTATTTGCTGCCAGAGAACACATTGCTAAGAGATGCCACATGACATCATAGTTCGTGTGTTACTCACCAGATAGAGTGTTGCATGAAGCACGTTGTGGAACCAGAGATCGCCTTAGTATAATGAGCGTGCTGATAGTTCGCGAGTGAACCACCAGAGGGTGATGTAGATAAACATGACATTCACTTTATAGTAAAAATAAAAATTCTACAATTAATGATTTAATCTAATTTGTATAATTTTGTGTTCACAATTGCAGTTTCACTTTATAAATAAAATGTTAAATCTGCTATTTCAATCTTATCAACTTTATAGTTTTCTAATATATATTACATAGTTTTTACACAGGCGGACAGTGTTACCATACTTCCATAGGACTGCATAAAAATTTCATTGTGTTTCAACATATGTCTATAGTTTTCATTTATATATATTTAACTGTATTGCATGTGTTTTACAAAGGCAGACGGTGTTTCTATAAACGGATAGTATTACTGAGGCTCTACATACAGGTGATGTTATTATAGGTTGATAGTTCAAAAGAATGATGAACTCATTGTAGGGTGTCTCAACGTGTCTCAGTTTGTGAGTACGTCATCAATGCCTATATTTAATTACATATCCTAAAGATGTAAGTCTATTATTTATATTTATTATTGGTTTAGAATAACAATAAAAGTGTTCTCGACAAAATATTTCATTTTATTCAGGTTTCCATTTATAAATTTATTTGTATTAGAAAGGTGCATGATGTTATTATAATTCTATAGGATTGTGTACAGATTCAACTTGTTTCAACTTATTTTTATAGTTTTCATTTACATAGTTAACTGTATTACATGTGTTTTACAAAGGTAGATAGTGTTACTAGTTGGATTGTCTTACTAAGGTATTATATATAGGCCGATGGTGTTACTCCGCAAATTGTGTTAATAAGATTAATGTTGCTAGGGCAGATGATGTTTCTATATATGAATAGTTCAATATGATCATGTATTAATGAAGCTTTTTTTTTACCCAAAGAGACAGAGAACGTTTAATTAAATATAGACATTGATGACGTAATCACATGTTGAGACACCCTACGATGACTTCATGATCCTATTGAAGTATCCATTTATAGAAACACTATCCGTCCTAGCAACATTAATCTCAGTAACACAATTTGTCAAGTACCACTATCTGCCTATAGAAACTTAGTGATACAATTCACCTAGTAACAACATCTGCCTTTGTAAAACACATGTAATACAGTTAAATATGTAAATGAAAAGTACAATAAAATGAAATATTTTGTCATGCTTACCCAATAAGAAATACAAATAATAGATTCACATCTTCAGGATATATAATTAAATCTAGACATTGATGACGTAATCACAAGTTGAGAGGCCCTACAATAAGCACATAATGCTATTGAACTACCCGCCT